TCAACTCTTCGTTTCTCTCTTCACCCTCTCTCCTCTCTTTCCTCTTTCCTCCTCTCTTTCCTCTCTCCTCCCTCCTCTCTCCTCCCTCCTCTTTCCTCTCTCCTCTTTTCTCTCTTCCTCTTTCCTCTCTCCTTTCCTCCTCTCTCCTCTTCCTCCTCTCTCCTCTTTCTCCTCCTCCTCTCCTCCTCTGTCTCTTTCCTCTCTCCTCCCTCCTCTTTCCTCTCTCCTCTTTCCTCTCTCCTCTTTCCTCTCCTCCCTCTGTCCTTCACAATTCTTCCATCATGATCGACAGCCAATCTTTTTTTTTTTATTTGTTCGTTTTGTTTTTTTTGGGGCCAAAGAATCAAAATCCATATGTTTAAAACTTGAACATTTCTCTGCTTTGTATAAAAATGTATAAAAACTTTAACAGACACATTTTTCTCACGAGTTATTTTGACTTCGTCCTTCACCAGCGACACGAGAAGAACATCGTGAAGCTTCCGCTCGACCGGACGCCGCTCGGACGCTCGACGTTCGGCTTTTACGAAGTGTCCAGAAACATTCCCCAAACTCCTCGTTCAGATCAACTCCAGGACATGATTCTAGTCAAAGTGTGTGGAGTTTAAAAACACAGTGGAGCGCGTCCTGCATCACCACACGATGACATCACCAGGTGGAGCAGAGAGAGTTTGCGACGAGGAAACGACACTAGGACGCGGTTTAAAGTTCAGACGAGGAGAGTCTGGGTGTTACGGGACTTTAAAGCCGCACTCTGGGACATTTCCTCACATCAGAGCAGAGTTTAAATCTAAAATAAAAAGAAGAAGAAGAAGAAGAATCCACCAACGAGTGAAACGTGTGATTTAAACCAGAACCACAAACCAACGTGTGACTGAAGAAGAAGAAGAAGGAGACGAGAAGAAGGAGGAGGAGAAGAAGGAGGAGGAAGACGCCCCGGGGGACAGAGACGAGAGGAAGACGAGTAATGACAGGGAAGAAGAGAGAGAGAGAGAGGAGAGAGAAGAGAGGAAGAGAGAGGGGGGAGGAGAGAGAAGAGAAGAGAGAGGAGAAGAGAGAGAGGAGAGAGAAAGAGAGAGAGGAGAAGAGGAGAGAAGAGAGAGGAGAAGAGAGAAGGAGAAGAGAAAGAGGGGGAGCAGAGAGAAGAGAAGAGAGGGCAGAAGAGAAGAGAGAGAGGAGAAGAGAAGAGAGAGGAGAGAAGAGAGAGAGAAGAGAGGAGAAAGAGAGGAGAGGAGAAGAGAAGAGAGGAGAGAAGAGAGAGAGAAGAGAGAGGAGAGAAGAGATAAGAGAGAGAAGAGGAGGACAGAGGAGGAGAAGAGAGAGAGAGAGAGAGAGAAAGAGGAGAGGGAGGAGAGAGGAGGACAGGGGACAGAACCCGAGGAAGACAAGTAATGAGAGGGAAGAAGAGAAGAGGAGGAGAGGGGGGGGGGGGGGAGAGAAGAGAGAGAGAAAAGAGAGACCCCAGGAAAGAGAGGAGAAGGAGGAGGGGAGGAGGGATAATGAGAGGGCAGAAGAGAGGAGGAGAGAGAGAGAGAGAAGAGAGAGAGAAGAGGGGGACAGAGGACAGACCCCAAGAGAGGAGGAGGAGGGATAATGAAAGGGTAAGAGGAGAGAGAGAAAAAGAGAGAGAGAAGTGGGGGGGTCAGAGGGGAAGGGGGGATTTCCAGAATCTCACAGAAAAACGACAAGAAAACAACAGAAACTCGACAGAAAAATACAAACACGTCTCGCACGACACCTTAAGAAACACACAGAGCTGCACTTCAACATTCAAATCACTGAATGTTTAGACAATAAAATCTGCATAAATTCAGTATAAATTCAGTATAAATTCAGCATAAATTCATAAATTCAGTATAAATTCAATAAATTCAGTATAAATTCAGCATAAATTCAGCATAAATTCAGCATAAATTCAGCATAAATTCAGTATAAATTCAGCATAAATTCAGCATAAATTCAGCATAAATTCAGCATAAATTCATAATTCAGTATAAATTCAGCATAAATTCAGTAAATTCAATTCATAAATTCAGCATAAATTCAGTAAATTCAGCATAAATTCAGCATAAATTCAGCATAAATTCAGCATCAGCATAAATTCAGTATAAATTCATAAATTCAGCATAAATTCAGTATAAATTCAGCATAAATTCAGTATAAATTCAGCATAAATTCAGCATAAATTCAGCATAAATTCAGCATAAATTCAGCATAAATTCGATATAAATTCAGCATAAATTCAGCATAAATTCAGTATAAATTCAGCATAAATTCAGCATAAATTCAGTATAAATTCAGCATAAATTCAGCATAAATTCAGCATAAATTCAGTATAAATTCAGCATAAATTCAGCATAAATTCAGTATAAATTCAGCATAAATTCAGCATAAATTCAGTATAAATTCAGCATAAATTCAGTATAAATTCAGCATAAATTCAGTATAAATTCAGTATAAATTCAGTATAAATTCAGTATAAATTCAGCATAAATTCAGTAAATTCAGTATAAATTCAGCATAAATTCAGTATAAATTCAGCATAAATTCAGCATAAATTCAGCATAAATTCGATATAAATTCAGTATAAATTCAGCATAAATTCAGTATAAATTCAGCATAAATTCCATATAAATTCAGTATAAATTCAGTATAAATTCAGTATAAATTCAGCATAAATTCAGCATAAATTCGATATAAATTCAGTATAAATTCAGCATAAATTCAGCATAAATTCGATATAAATTCTGTATAAATTCTGTATAAATTCAGAAAATGTTTTGCCTTTTTATCCAAATGAGACAAATCCAAAGTTAAAGCGTCAAAATTGTATTGGAGAAAACGTGTCTCAAACTGTGAGCAGGTTCATGTAAAACTCAGGAAAAACAAACGCGCACATCTTCTGACGAGACTTTCACACTAATCAGGACCAAACCAGGACCAGACTTAAAACTGGGCACAAGTTAAGTTTCTGACATCGGGGCAAATGAGTGACCCTAATGATTATTGTTTTTCCATGTTTAAACTTGAGTCGTACTAAATGTTCAGAGACACGATCACTCAATAACAATAAAATCTCTTCATTAATGTTCAATAATACTCACAGATTTATTTTATGATTTATGAATAATGTCTGTGGACTTGGGTCGTGGGGGTTTGTGACTTTTAAAATATGAGTCCCCAGAAAAAAACAAACAAGAAAACTGTAGCTGTAACAAAATAATTTAGTAAAATACTCCAAAAAATACTCTTGGTGATATATCGAAACAGCAACACACAATATCGATACTGAATCATCACATTAAACGATACAACATATTGATATTTTTGCACACTCCTACTGCTGCCATGAACTTAATTTGTAAGTCGAGCAAAACACAAAAAACTTAGAAAGCTTCAGAATCTGTTCAAAACTCATTCAGAATCACTTTAAAATCCTGAAATAGTTGCGGCGCTCACTCAAAATGTTGTTTGTTTTTTTATTTTTATGTGTATAGATTAACAAACTTAGTGGGTTAAGTTAGAGGTTACAGGTCAGTTCTGTGGAGAGGCACCAATAAAACATCTGGATTTGAATAAATGCTAAATAAATGTTTAATGCCGTACGGTGGAACATTCCAGGCGACGCAATAAAATCTCCATGGACACAAACAGAGCTGCTCGATTATAGAAAAAATCATTATCTTATTTTATTTTGGTCAATATTGAAATTACGATTATTCAAACTATTTTTTTTTTTTGTGACATGATGCATTTATTTAACATTTCTGTCTCAAAAAAACACTTTGTTATTGATAATTTACGCAAAATTTCCAAATTGAACATAAATATCGACTACAAATCTGAACCTTAGAGCAGTTTTGCGACGTACGAAATGTTAAATACATATATAAAATAAACTTTGAACATGAAATAAGGCATAGAAAAATATAAATGTGTCTTAAATAAACTATAAATCCAGCTGTTCTACAATGTCTATATTTAAAAATAAAATAAATATAAAATATAAATAAAATAAAAATTTATAAAAAAAAAATAAAATAATGCAATAAATAAAAAATAAATGAATACATAAAATAAATAACAATAAATGAATAAATAAATAAAAAATAAATAAATTAAAATAATAAAAATAAATAAAAAATAACGAAATAAATAAAAAATAAATGAACAAATAAAATAAAATAAATCTAATAAAAAAATGAATAAATAAAAATAATAATAAAACTATAAAAAATAAAATAAAATAAATAAATAAATACACTTATTTATATATAATAAAAATCCCAAAATAAATTAAGCTTGAATCGTTTCAACTCCATTATATGAGTTTGGTTAAATCGTTTGACACACAAATCGAAATCGAAATACGATTACGATTACGATCTACCAGAAAAGTTACACAGTGCAGCTTTAAAGTACAAACAGAAGATCAGTATAATAACTATTAACAACTCTGTAATTTCCAGATTATTAGCAAATGTTCAAATACCAAAAGGCGCCAAAGGTTAAAAAACTCTCGTAAAAAAAATAAATCCCTCATGAACCACTTCAGCAATTACCCTCAATTACGTCATTAATGGAAAATACACTCCCGTTTCATTAGAAAGCGGCCACACCGTTCTGCAGCACTGTTTACTTTTTACGCAGTGATTTTACAGGAAATTCTCTCCGCGTTAGAGCAAGAATCGTAAATTTAAGACCGTAAAACAATCGCAACAGGAAGTGCAGCACAGCGCAGCGAAAACACGTCCCAAATCCGCCAAAAACGCCAAAAAATCCAACTTTACGCAGTAGTTTTGTAACCTTATCAGTCACAGCGGACGCGTGATCGGGGAAAGGGGGCGAGAACCGCGCGCCAGATCCACGAGTCACGGCAGAAAACAGCGGCCGAAGTTGAACCGGGACGAACGAGGAATGCGTAAAAGTAGCGTGCGTAAAAGTCGTGCGTAATTTGGCACATTTGGCACGTTGGCGGAGTGTCCGTGCGGAGCGCTTACCTCGTGTCGCCGCGGTCGGTCGCTCCTCGGCTCTGGCCATAGTCCGGTCCGAGGCGCAGGGAAAGTTTGGGACGGAGAGGAAAAAAAAAGTGGGAGAAGAGAAGGACGAAAGAGGGAGAGAGCTTCCGGTGAGACTTTCAGAATAAAGCGCGAAAACGGAAGTGGGTTTTAAAAAGTTTTAAAAGTGTTACAGCGGTGATTAAAAACTAAAACAGGACAGAACCAGGACTAAATCAGGACTAAACCAGGACTAAGCCAAAACTAAACCAGGACTAAACCAGGATTAAACCAGGACTAAACCAGGACTAAACCAGGACTAAACCAGGACTAAACCAGGACTAAACCAGGACTGAACCAAAACTAAACTTGTACTAACCTAGGACTAAACCAGGTCTAAAAATCAGAACTAAACCAGAACTAAGTCAAGACTAAAAAGCAAAACTAAACCAGAACTAAACCAGGACTAAACCTGGACTAAACCAGGACTGAACCAGGACTAAACCAGAACTAAACCAGGACTAAACCGGGACTAAACCAGGACTAAACCAGAACTAAACCTGGACTAAACCAGGACTGAACCAGGACTAAACCAGGAAACTAAACTAAACCAGGACTAAACCAGGACTGAACCAGGACTAAACAGAACTAAACCAGGACCAGGACTAAACCAGAACTAAACAGGACTAAACAGGACTAAACCAGACTAAACCAGGACTGAACCAGGACTAAACCAGAACTAAACCAGGACTAAACCGGGACTAAACCAGGACTAAACCAGAACTAAACCTGGACTAAACCAGGACTGAACCAGGACTAAACCAGGAACCAGACTAAACCAGGACTAAACCAGGTCTGAACCAGGACTAAATCAGACTAACTAAACCTAAACCGGACTAAACCAGGACTCTGAACCAGGATTAAACCAGGTCTAAACCAGGACTAAACCAGGTCTAAACCAGAACCAAACCTGGACTAAACCAGGAATAAAAATCAGAACTAAACCAGGACTAAACTTGGACTAAAAAAAAAGAACTAAACCAGGTCTACACTTGGATCTAAACTCCAGTAGTTTTTGTTGTTGTGTTTGGTAAATGCTGCCCTCTGCTGGTCATCACTAAAACAACATTTTACAAACTGTTTTATTTCAAAGTCTCTCGTGAACTCAAAAAAAAAAAAAAACTCCAACAAATGAAACTATTTTAGAGAAATAACAAACTCTTAAAAGACTCGACGGTCTGGGGTTTGTGTTTGTGACACGTTTCTGTGTTTTCAGGATCTTGAGTTTGTGGGAAAAAAAAACAGGAAACTGTCACAAACACGACTCAGCTGCATCTGCCACGAGAAACAAACTGAACCACAAAAACAACAGCAGCAGCAGCAGTCGCCACGGCAACGGACGCACAAAACCTCAGGGAATATTCAACCCAGAGACGATTAGTTTGGTGAGTCCAGGTTTAGGTCCAGGTCTGAGTCTGAGCTGCTCTGAAATCAAAATAAAACATAAATCATCACGTTTGTTTTAATTTAGAAATAATCCAGAGACTCACAGAGACTCACAGACTCACAGAGACTCACAGAGACTCACAGACTGACAGAGATCACAGAGACTCACAGACTCACAGAGACTCACAGAGACTCACAGACTCACAGAGACTCACAGACTCACAGAGACTCACAGAGACTCACAGAGACTCACAGAGACTCACAGAGACTCACAGAGACTCACAGACTCACAGAGACTCACAGAGACTCACAGAGACTCACAGAGACTCACAGACTCACAGACTCACAGAGACTCACAGAGACTCACAGAGACTCACAGAGACTCACAGAGACTCACAGAGACTCACAGAGACTCACAGAGACTCACAGAGACTCACAGAGACTCACAGAGACTCACAGACTCACAGAGACTCACAGAGACTCACAGAGACTCACAGAGACTCACAGAGACTCACAGAGACTCACAGAGACTCACAGACTCACAGAGACTCACAGAGACTCACAGAGACTCACAGAGACTCACAGAGACTCACAGAGACTCACAGAGACTCACAGACTCACAGACTCACAGAGACTCACAGAGACTCACAGAGACTCACAGAGACTCACAGAGACTCACAGAGACTCACAGAGACTCACAGACTCACAGAGACTCACAGAGACTCACAGAGACTCACAGAGACTCACAGAGACTCACAGAGACTCACAGAGACTCACAGACTCACAGACTCACAGACTCACAGAGACTCACAGAGACTCACAGAGACTCACAGAGACTCACAGACTCACAGAGACTCACAGAGACTCACAGAGACTCACAGAGACTCACAGAGACTCACAGAGACTCACAGAGACTCACAGAGACTCACAGACTCACAGAGACTCACAGAGACTCACAGAGACTCACAGAGACTCACAGACTCACAGAGACTCACAGAGACTCACAGAGACTCACAGAGACTCACAGAGACTCACAGAGACTCACAGAGACTCACAGAGACTCACAGAGACTCACAGAGACTCACAGAGACTCACAGAGACTCACAGAGAGACTCACAGAGACTCACAGACTCACAGAGACTCACAGAGACTCACAGAGACTCACAGAGACTCACAGAGACTCACAGAGACTCACAGAGACTCACAGAGAGACACAGAGACTCACAGAGAGACTCACAGAGACTCACACAGACTCCCAGAGACTCACACAGACTCACAGAGACTCACAGAGACTCACAGAGACTCACAGAGACTCACAGAGACTCACAGAGACTCACAGAGACTCACAGAGACTCACAGAGACTCACAGAGACTCACAGAGACACACACAGACTCACAGACTCACAGAGACTCACAGAGACTCACAGAGACTCACAGAGACTCACAGAGACTCACAGAGACTCACAGAGACTCACAGAGACTCACAGAGACTCACAGAGACTCACACAGACTCACAGAGACTCACAGAGACTCACAGAGACTCACAGAGACTCACACAGACTCACAGAGACTCACAGAGACTCACAGAGACTCACAGAGACTCACAGACTCACAGAGACTCACAGAGACTCACAGAGACTCACAGAGACTCACAGAGACTCACAGAGACTCACAGAGACTCACAGACTGACAGAGACTCACAGAGACTCACAGAGACTCACAGACTCACAGAGACTCACAGAGACTCACAGAGACTCACAGAGACTCACAGAGACTCACAGACTCACAGAGACTCACAGAGACTCACAGAGACTCACAGAGACTCACAGAGACTGACAGAGACTCACAGAGACTCACAGAGACTCACAGAGACTCACAGAGACTCACAGAGACTCACAGAGACTCACAGAGACTGACAGAGACTCACAGAGACTCACAGAGACTCACAGAGACTCACAGAGACTCAGAGACTCACAGAGACTCACAGAGACTCACAGAGACTCACAGAGACTCACAGAGACTCACAGAGACTCACAGAGACTCACAGAGACTCACAGAGACACAGAGACTCACAGAGACTCACAGAGACTCACAGAGACTCACAGAGACTCACAGAGACTCACAGAGACTCACAGAGACTCACAGAGACTCACAGAGACTCACAGAGACTCACAGAGACTCACAGAGACTCACAGAGACTCACAGAGACTCACAGAGACTCACAGAGACTCACAGAGACTCACAGAGACTCACAGAGACTCACAGAGACTCACAGAGACTCACAGAGACTCACAGAGACTCACAGAGACTGACAGAGACTCACAGAGACTCACAGAGACTCACAGAGACTCACAGAGACTCACAGAGACTCACAGAGACTCACAGAGACTCACAGAGACTCACAGAGACTCACAGAGAGACTCACAGAGACTGACAGAGAGACTCACAGAGACTCACAGAGACTCACAGAGACTCACAGAGACTCACAGAGACTCACAGAGACTCACAGAGACTCACAGAGACTCACAGAGACTCACAGAGACTCACAGACTCACAGAGACTCACAGAGACTCACAGAGACTCACAGAGACTCACAGAGACTCACAGAGACTCACAGAGACTCACAGAGACTCACAGAGACTCACAGAGACTCACAGAGACTCACAGAGACTCACAGAGACTCACAGAGACTCACAGAGACTCACAGAGACTCACAGAGACTCACAGAGACTCACAGAGACTCACAGAGACTCACAGAGACTCACAGAGACTCACAGAGACTCACAGAGACTCACAGAGACTGACAGAGAAGCTCTGAAGGTCCAGGATAAAGACCCAGATGGACCAGAGTCACTGAAGTGTGAGAAAAGTCTGATCATGTGACCTCAGATCTGTTTTTGACTCAGACTGGACACAAAGGTCGGGACTCGAGTCGGACTTGAGTCACTATTTTTAGGATTTGAGACTTAAAATGTGCTAAGACTTGGGACTTGACTTGGACTTGGAGGTCAGTGACTTGGGACTCAACTTGAAGGTCAGTGACTTTGGACTCGACTCGGACTCGGTCTTGTCTTAATCCACAGAACAATGGAGTAAAACAGAAGAAACTATGAAAAACATGATGCTTAAATTTCACAACAAAATAACTTGACAAAATTAAACACTTTTAGATCTGAATTCTTTCTGTTCTGATCGTCATGATTCACACTAAGATCTTGTCAAGACGTTTAAAAAGGAAAATTTCCATTTGTCCCATTCATATAAATACACCGTGACTTTTTAAAACAATTTAGTTTAAAATTCATATAAATTGCAAAAATCTAAGCTCTATTTGAAACTTTGGTTGACTTGAAACCACAGACGACTTGGACTTGACTTGGACTCATGGACCAGTGACTCGAGACTCGACTTGGATTACCTGTCTTTGACTTGGGACTTGACTCGGACTCGAGGTCAAAGACTTGAGACTTTCAAACAAAGACCCACGTCTGCTGGACTCAGAGCGACAGAGAAACTCTGGTGCAGTCGTCTCCTCTTTCCTCAAGGTCCTGAGCTGATCTGGTTTTACACAAAATAATAATAAATAAATACATCTTTATTTATAAAACACTTTCACAAGCAGCAAAGAACAACACAAAAAGAATAAAAATATTATTCAGAAAGCACAAAACAATGACAAAAACAATCCAGTTCATGTTAGATCCTCTCGCTCTCCTCGGGGTCACACTGACCCGGAGAAAGAAACTTTTGTTTTTCTTCTCTTGGGTCGATTTATTTTCTCACCTGGCAAGAATTTATTTGAAAATACATTTTGGGCCTGATTGACCCGCCCCACGAGAGCGGGAAGGAAAAAAATGTTTTCTTCAGGTCAGTGTGA